TTCTAGAAATCATTAAAAAGTCTATGTGCTGAGTAAAGGAATATTGCAGCTAATTGTGATAATTAATTTCTGACTTTGATTTCCTGTAGCTTTTTACCTGTGCCTACTCAGCTATCTCAGGACCAATTTGAAGCTGAAGAAAGGGCAAGATCTCAGAGATCACTGTAGAACTCTCTGGATTCCTCTCAAAGGGAGCCTCCCTCATATGGATACAGGAAAGGCAGAATTCCACAGTTGCTGGAGGTATTTTTTTTCACTGCCTTCAGAAATGTTAAAACACAATGTATTCATCTTTGTTCTTATCACTATCGATGGTTTAGAACTTAGAGAGAATAAGATTTGCATAACTTTGGTCAACTTATGCAGTGGCTTGTGGGCATGAACATGATTGAATATATGGGGGAATAAAAAGCTTGAGTAGATGGCTGATTGGATTTAAAAAAATCTACACCAAAACAAAATCAAGCTTCTTTATGAATAATACATCTTCATATGTTCAAATGTTTGAAAGATAAAAATATAAAGACATGTCTAAATCATAAAATAAGATCTCAGCACAAATTGGTATCAACACGAGAAAGAGAAAACAATCCTAGAATGCTGAGTGCCATCTGAGGCCCTGAACCTTTAGGGTAAGATATGCAATAAGATCTGCACTAACACTTGGGTTTCCTTTTCCAGGTGGTTGAAAATGACAAAATGACTTTTTATCTATGAGTAAATTATGTATCTTGAAAGAGAGGAATTTCTGACATTGTCTCCATGAGACTCAGAGATCATCACGTACATCCTCATCAGGCAGGAGGAAATGTCCACAGCAGGCAAAGATCCTGGAACACATGTCACAGAGGGAAGGGAGCATACTGCGTGTGGAACCCACTGCTTCAGGCGGACCAGCTGCAGAGGACCGGCCGCAGAGGAGGCAAAGGGAGCAAGCCTGGTCCCAGACTGCTGCTTTGCTTTCCACACAAACCGACTGAACAGGGTCCAGGCAGCCACAGATGATGGGGGAGGAGGGGGAAGCACGTGAAAGGCTCACTCGTGGAAGAGACACACTGGGGACTATGTTTGGAGCCGGTGCTCCTGAGGCAGAGAGAACAGTTTGTCCAGGCCTGGCCTGGGGTACTCAGCAGCAAGCAACTGTCTTGAGAGGAAAAGGGAAGTGTCCCATCCAAGGGGAGCAATTGTAGAACGAGGTTCAGGGAAATAGAGGGTTAGCTCTGAGCTCAAGAAATCTTTCCTGGGACCATGTGGACTCTGGCCAGTGAGAGATGGGGAAGCTTACCAGTTCTAGGCTAGGCTAGTGATCGTGGAACCTGCAGATGTCTGCGATTAATATGCTGGTGTGTGCATGAGAGCTTGTGCGATCTGGTATCTGGAAGTGTGGAACAGGGGATTTACGTCCCTGTCTTGCCACCAAGCCACGTGGCAGAGTACCATGTGGATGGCCGTGGCGGCTCAGCTCACATGGTAGAAGTTTGGCGAGCCTCGAAGTGGGCTGATGGGGCTTGTCTGCAGTAGTGGATGTTAATTCACACGCTCGGTGATGGCAGGTAGCAGCAGATGGAGTCCAAGTGGTGTGGCAGTGGTGGCGGTGGCATTGCATCCATCCTGCATTGTTAGAGCAGTCGGAGCCAATGGCTGCACGGAGGTCCCTGAAGTCTTCATGACCTGGTGTTGGCACCATTGTTAGATTTTTGGTGCGCAGCTTAGGCAGATAACACCAGACCAAATGGTTCCACGAGGGGGAGTTTATTTGGGGTGGAGGGAAGAGAGTGAGAGGAGAGAGAGCAGAGAAGTAGAGGAGTAGAGGCTGGCCATGACCACGTGGAGAGAGGGGGAAGAGAAAGGGAGAGGAAGCAGAGGAGAGCCTGCAGGCATGGGAGTAAGGGGGCAAGAGAGAACAAGAGAGAGAGGAGGGGGCAGACAGCCCCTTTTATAGTAGGCAGGGCTACCTGCCTGTTACCAGGTAACTGTGGAGAGGAGCATGCCTGGCTGTGGCCAAGCGGAGGTGGAGTTTAGACAGAATACTAACACCAAGGCTATTCAATGCTATCTACAAATTGATTGTAATACCTTATTGTTAAAGAAAATTCTTATATATTTCCGTGAACATAAAGTATTTGAGCCTTTGTCCAAATTCCAGCTTATCACTCCTAACTGTTGTCTATGGAACTCTGGGTATTTTCTATGGTATCAGCGGTGAAAAGTAGTAACTACCCAGATATAAAGCAATTTACCTACAATACTTACCTTCTTATGGGTTATGTTGGTGCAATAGTGTCACAGATTTTATGGTGTTAATTATTGATTCTTTGATGAAATGTAAGGCCAGTGAGATTGAACTCATGACTAATAATTGCTAAAGTTGCCGAGAACCTGGAATTGGCTAGACTATAGGCCTAGTGGAAAACCAAAGGCTATTGTTCTAATAAAGCATTATACTAATAAGATGATTTTTAATTACATAGTCATATATACACTTAAATCTGTATGCCAATCTACCATCACTGTAGCTTTTTGCAGCAGATGTGAAGCAAGAAAGAACAAAAAATGGACAGTCTGTAGAGAGTGTGAGATATTGGAGCATTCGGTTTATACTCATCAACCTTCCCCTCTGGACTGAGAGACCATTGTAAAAGAGGAGGTGGAAATAAAGTAAGAACCAGAGACAATAGATGACTCCAAAGAAACAGTCTCATCCAGATACAGTAGGACTGGTGCACATATGAACTCCCATAGACTGTAGGCACAAGCACAAGGCTTACATAGATGCAAGCCAGTTGCACCCTCTGCAGAGACAAGGAAGTGGCTTGTGCTCCCACTATTAGATTAGCCAAGAATCTATCTTCTCCTTATATACACTTGCAAAATATTATAGTCTTCTTCAGTGGAGGCTTACCGGCTATATTAATCACACTTGCTGGTAAGCCCTATGTCCAAGAGTTGGACAAACAAAACCAACACAATGACTTATTTGTAGAGTGCTTGTCTTATATTGCTTTGTTTAGGCATTTTTTCTCTTTTTAGTCTGTTTTTGAATATTTGGTTTCAGATTCATTATTCATTAGAGAGAGAGGAGGGAAGGAGGGAGGGAAGGAAGGAGGGAGAGAAGAAAAATAGACAACTTTAATGTGGGCCACACCTTCTGCTGTAGACCTACATAAGGACATTGGAAGAAAGAAGATTTGTTCTTCTTCACCTGCTTGTATTTACTTTCCAGCACGTCTACTTCTACAGAAGACCAGCTGAAACAGCTACTCTTGTGGGACTGAGAAGTTACTTGATTATTCAACTTCCCAGTCACAGCTCTTCCTTGTTGGGGAGTTGAACAATGGACTGTAAATCATCAAGACAAATTCCCATACTATATAGAGACTATCCATGAGTTTTGTGACTCTAGGGAACGCACATAGTATGTATTTTTGTTTTAATAGGTGTAACTATTTATCAGATAGTTAAATACACATGTACACATATTCTTACACAGTGCTACTAGCTTTTCTCAATCCTGGGATAACATTCGAAACCTATCTTTGTTAGTGAACATCAACACCTGAAAAGCTTCACTAACAAATGACCTGCCCAGGATTAAGAGGACTGTGGATTGGAAAGGTACTCAGGTACAGATAAGGCTTTTTAAGCACACACATCCCCCACCTCTTAGGTTCCTTATCATGGAGATTTCCTCTCTCCCTTCAACCCATTAAATGGAAGTACACAAAGGCTGGGAAACAGATTGAATTGCAGAATACATTTACTTTATTTCTACTTTCTTATCAATGTGGATTTCTTTTGGACTGTTAACTTTTCTGTGAGTATTGCAGTGGTTTGTCTTCTTTTAGTTGTATGTGAATGTAACAGGAATTCATACATGGATACATGTGTGGCTGCATCTGAATTCGAGACTCATTGTTGTCCTTCTGTCCTCAGATGCTATGGCCCAGGTACAGCCTCATGAAGGCCACAAAGACTCTGGTCGCTCTTGTTTACACTTTATTACAAGTGAGAATTGGTAGAGCTGGATCCAACTACCACTAGGAAAGAGGATGACTTTGAGAGCATCATTGGTGACAATGTAGAGACAACTTAAATTCAGACACTGAGATACCAGTCATCTTCTCCAGATAAACACAAGCCATTTCTCCCTGAGGCTGAACCCTGTAAGCACACTCTTTGCAGGGATATGTTAATGCTCAAGTCAGTCTGGTCAACTTTAAATCTTCATGTAGGTGAATTTATGAGCAGCAGGGGGCACAATGGATCTGAGAAACTTTAGCAAAGAGAGGCAGTGGATGTGGAGAGGACTGTCATTTCCTATCTTAACCTACATTTACCTATTGTGATTGACATGTAACTTTTCCATGCTCAAACACAGTGATTATCCTTTGTTAAACACTTTAAAGATTTATATTTTCTTTACACACACACACACACACACCTTCTTGATGCAATCTTCTGTTGACTCATACACAGTTTGTTTCCATAATTTAGTTATTTTGATGGTACTGCAAGAATCATACATGTACAAATGTTTCTGAAGTAAATTTAGTTTTGGTCCTCTGGGTGATTTTGTGTGTGTATGTGTGTGTATAACATATTGGAAAGGCAAACATTAATTGCATGTATTTAAAGGAGGTTGTAACTTTTAATAACTGTTTTTGAAATTGTATCTCACTATTGTCATCCTTGTTACCACCTTAAATCCATCTGTTAACTATGTCACAAGTGGGGCCACTGTCTCAGGCTTCAAATCTTTTTAGATCATAGACCCTGATGATACATCCACAGCCTCAGAACAAGGCACAGGGATGGTGTTTGTGATGAGCTTCCTCAGACAGGATTAGGACTTGGGCCTGGTTAGGGTTAGGTGTCCCTTCTTCTCCAGCAGGTGTAGGTCCTTATTTAAGATGTACCCTGCTCATAAATATGTAAATCATGTGAGTCTATGGTGATAAATATAGGGATGTCTACAGCAGACAAAAACATAAGATCACTGTCCTCTCTAACATCACTGAGTACACAGGACCTCACCATGAGATGGAACTGTATCATTCTCTTCCTGGCAGCAACGGCTATAGGTAAGAGGCTCACAGTAGAAGGTTTGTGGTCTGGCCATACACTCAGGCAACAATGACATCCACTCTGTATTTCCCTCCACAGGTGTCCACTCTCAGGTCCAGCTACAGCAGTCTGGGGCTGAGCTGGTGAGGCCTGGTGCCTCAGTGAAGATGTCCTGCAAGGCTTCTGGCTACACATTCACTGACTACAATATGCACTGGGTAAAGCAGAGTCATGGAAAGAATCTTGAGTGGATTGGAATTATTAATCCTTCCAATGCTGGTACTATCTGTAATCAGAACTTCAAGGACAAGGCCACATTGACTGTAGACAAATCCTCCAGCACAGCCTATATGGAGCTTAGCAGATTAACATCTGAGGATTCTGCTGTCTATTACTGTGCAAGACACAGTGTTGCAACCACATCCTGAGTGTGTCAGGAAATGTCAAGAAGCAGCAAGCTGCACTGGGACTGAGAAGACTCAGAGAAATTTTGCTTGACGACTTTCTCATTCACAGTCATTTTGAAAGTCCATTTTTGTGTCTCTTCCTTAGAGACCTATAGGGCTTTTGTCAACTTTGAAAAAGGGCGTCTATGAATTACATGATGTTGATTGAGGATGCTCCAAAGGTATCACATACCCTGTCAATCTCTTCACCAGTGCTCATCTCCATTGACATGTTTCTTATTTAATAAAACAACAAAAAAAGTAAAAATGTGATTATGCATGATAAAAATATCTCTGGATTGTGAGAAAGACTAGAACTTTTTTTTGAATAGCTATAAACAAAGTATAAGATGAATAAAGTATAAGATGAGTCTGAGCTGTAAAATCACCACTTCAGAGCAAATAAGAAACCCTTTCTCAGCCTTAAGTCTTTTTTTTTTAATTGGATATTTCATTTACATTTCAGATCTTATCACCTTACCTCATTTGTCTTAAGTGACTTCTAGGTGTTTTGCTAATTCTACTTGTGTGGTCCAGCAGAAGTTGCAGGTTCTTAGAACGTAAGAGTTAAAGAATTGAGAGTTCATCTTGGTAGATTTTTCCTTTGATGAGTATGAATTGTCCTTCCTCATCTTTTTTGATAATTGTTGGTTGATAGTTGATTTTATTAGATATTACAACGGTTGTTCCAGTCTGTTTCTTGGGACCATTTGCTTGGAAATATTTTTCCAGCCTTTTACTCTCTTATGATCTTTTAGGACAAACTGAGACAGACATCCTGTGTAGTCACGGTGGGACAGGAAGGCTGATCTGCCCTTCATACAGGTTTAGGTGAATGTTTGTTTATATTTTTAATTTTGTTGAATATAGACACTTGAATTAACACCTAATGATTCTTTGATTTTCCTCAGTGTTTACTGTTATATCTCCCTTGTCATTTCTGAAGTTGATTTTTGGATACTGTCTTTCAGTCTTTTCATTAGTTTGGCTAAGGGTTTTTCTGTGTTGTTAATTTTCTCATAGAACCAGCTTGTGATTTGCTTGATTCTTATATTGTTTCCTTTCTTTCTAGTTGATTGATTTCAGTCCTGTATTTGATTATTTCGTGCTGCCTGCTCCTCTTGCGTGTGTTTGCTTTTTATTCCCCCAAAATCTTTCAGTTGTATATTTAAATTTCTAATAAGAGATCTTTCCAATTCCCTTCTTCTTTATATATATTATTTTGCTTATTTATATTTGAAATGTTGGCCCCATTCTGTGTCCTCTATCCAAGAGTTCTTCACCTAATACTCTTTTCCCTTTGCTTTTGAGAGGGTGCTCCCTCCCACTCTCTCACTCCTCCTACACCCTGCTTCCCTGGGGTATCACATCAATGCATGATTTGTTTATCCTCTTCTGTTGAGTCCAGACAAGGCAGTCCTTTACTACATACGTGCCAGGGGCCTCAGTCTAGCTCATGTATGCCTTTTGGTTGGTGGCTCAGTCTCTGAGAGTTGCTGCAGTTCTGGTGTGATTCTCCTTGCAGATCTCTAAGATTCAGAGATTTCACCTGGTTGGTTGCATTCATTTTCTCTAAACAGAGATTTTAAAAAAAAATTAATTATCTATTTTTGTTAATACAGGAATATTTCAGCACTAAGTTCAAAACTGTTTCACCTTTTTAAAATTTTTTTTGATTTTTTGATTTTTTGAGACAAGGTTTCTCTCTATAGCTCTGGGTGTCATGGAACTCACTCTGTAGACCAGGCTAGCCTCAAAATCAGAAATCCACCTTCCTCTGTCTCCCAAGTGCTGGAAATAAAGGCACATGCCACCACTGCTCGGCCTGTTTCAGCTTTTAAGAGTCAGCCAGCTCCTGAGCTGTTTCAACATTTTAGTTACTTTTAACAACAGTCTCACTCTAGGTACAATTATTGTAAAACCCTTTTTATTTTGTCTATTAAAAATGTATGATGTGTGATTCATCTTCTGAGCACAGGTTCTCTGCCCTAGGTATAGCCTGATGAAAAAAAGGAAAGAGCCTGTTATCTCTTGTCATTACCTTTTTAGAAATAGGAATGGCTAGAGCTGGATCTGATTTCCACTAAGGAAGAACCTGGCTTTGAGAAAGATATTATAGTAATATTGTCACAACTTAAAATTGCTGATGCATAAATCATTCTCCCCAGGTAAACTAGAGCCATTTCTCCCTTCAGCTGAGCTCTGTGTACACTGAAGTTACAGAGATAAGTTATTTCTTTTCCTTTCTTTCTTTCTTTCTTTCTTTCTTTCTTTCTTTCTTTCTTTCTTTCTTTCTCTCTCTCTCTCTCTCCCTCTCTCTCTCCTTCCTTCCTTCCTTCCTTCCTTCCTTCCTTCCTTCCTTCCTTCCTCCCTCCCTTCCCTCCCTCCCTCCTTTCCTTCCTTCCTTCCTTCCTTCCTTCTTCCTTCCTTCCTTCCTTCCTTCCTTCCTTCCTTCCTTTTCCTCTCCTTCCTTCCTTCCTTCCTTCCTTCCTTCCTTCCTTCCTTCCTTCCTTCCTTCCTTCCTTTTCCTCTCCTTCCTTCTTACTTTCTTTTTTCCATCATCATCAATATTTATTGAAGTCTTCCTTTTGGCCTTCCAAAGGTACCCTGCCTCACTCTCCTGCAACATAGACATTAGGAAGCTCATTGTAGCTTTCCCTTGCTTATTATCCATAATTATGCATATATTCCATAACATAGTTCCAGTGTTACTTATTTTGCAGAAAAGATAAATAAAAGTCATGCTGTAATGACTATTGTTGGTTGGCAACTTGAGCACATCAGGAATTAACTAACACCCAAATTGCTAAGTACACTCCTTAGAGATTTTTCTTATCATTTGAAGTAGAAAGAGTTATCCTTAATCTGGATCTTTTGAGATGAGAAAATCCACCATTCACTTGGGCCACACTCTCCAGTGGTAACCTATATATGAGACATGGAAGAAGTAAGTTCAATTTCTTTGCCTGCTTACTCTTTTTTTAAAGTAATTTAATTAACAAAGTTAAATTTATCTATCTATCTATCTATCTATCTATCTATCTATCTATCATCTATCTAATTATTTGCTTTTATACCATTTTAATTACATGCAAGTATTATGGTCAGTTCTAGGTTAAGAAACTAGCAGTACAATAGATGCAATAGTCAAAGAACAAGCAAGACAATAAACACAAATAGTCAAAGAACAAGCAACACAATAAACAAAATTCTATGATCACTTCTGTGACCACCGCTTCTAAGGGCTTATCAGGATGACCAAAATATCTGAGACTACTTCCCTTTCCTAGCCTAAAGTCATTTTCATGCCCGAAGCCTACTTCTTTGTTCTAGCCAAAGATTTAGATTCCTGCCTGAAATTACTTCTTTGTTCTAGCCTAATGTCAGATTCCTGCCCGAAGCCCATTTCCTTGACCTTGGCCAATGTCAAATTCCTGCCAAGCAACCCCCAAAGCTCTTCATATCTCTGCCTTTTTAAATTTCACAAACAAGACTGAGCCTGTCTTAGGTTATCCTGACAGGAATGCCTTCCTTACTCATCATGGAATATGCATCACCAAAAGCAATGCACTTCTGTCTTAGGTTGGTAAGTCTCTGTGCAGAACATTACCTGTCCATGATTTGCCAGCCTGTTAAATTAATATCTATGTCTGGGGGTCCATTTTCGGTTTCATGTCATGTACTTTTGCTGCCAATATATTGATGTTAAAGACAAGCTTTAACATGATGAGCAGGACTAAAAGGACAAAAAGGGCTAGCATGATCAAGCTATATATGCCATTCTTGAAGCTTGATCAAAATGACAATACTGATCTCAGGCCATGTAAAATTTTAACAGCAGTATCTGCAGCATCAAAGCTCAGCAGAGCAGCTTTCTTTAAATTCATAATCGCATTATGCAAATTTAAAACATCCAGAGAGCTGTTAGAATTTTGTCAAATACCCTGCAAGTGTCTTTAAATGTTTTCCTAATGATAATGACTATCAATATAAATTTTAGAAGGAACATAAATCCATTGGTATTTGGCATGAAACTTGAGATGGCTCCTTATTCTTCAAATTTGAACCTCCTTCCAATAATTTGTATAGGATAAAGAGCATCAATCTATTGTACCAAATGCCTATCTAAATCCTATTGTATACTCAACTCATTAATAACATTTTTTTGCCAAGTGTTTAACAAAAGTAGCTGTCTTAACTTCTAGTGTCAAAGCAATTGCACAAGCAGTGGTGCTAGAAATTAATGTAATTAAGGCAGTTATACCAGCAATAATTAAACCCACTATGCTCTTGCTTCTGCTTAAAGCCTGATTCACTTCTTCCAGTACTTTTATGCTTTTTTTCAGAATACCAAGGTCCTGTAATAGGGCTATAAAACAAAAGCTGGTTGACAGACCTCTGTAACTGACATGCTAAGTTTCAGCACACTCACACAATTAGAAAGTGTACAATCAATACAACTTACATTAAATACTGTAGAAGAAACAAAAGTAATTTTAGCATGACAATTAAAAGAGTCTTAACACATGTGCTAACACTTGTTTGAAATCCATTTCCTGTCCCAACTTTATCTCTTGCTAACATAACATTATAGAGAACTGCAGCTAACTTCCAAATATGTCTCTGAAAATGTCCAGAACCAGCCTTCCAAATGAAGCCTGTTACTTCCAAATGGATTGATTTCTAGATCAGTCCATGATTGCGTTTGAATAACTGGTCACATTTCCCCAGAAGTTTTTTTTTAATTGTTAATAGTTTCTGCTATCCTGGGTTTCTTGTTATTGCAAATGAATTCAAGAATTATTTGTTCTAACTATATGAAGAATTGAGTTGGAATTTTGATGAGAATTGCATTGAATCTGTAGATCCTTATTGGCAAGATGGCCATTTTTACTGTATTAATTCTGCCAATCCTAGAGCATGGGAGATCTTCCACTTGTTTGGTTAGATTCACACCAAAGTATATTATATTACATGTGACT